TCAGCATTCACATTGTTCCCCCCCCCCCCCCCAAACTTTTTTTTGGGTGTAAATTTGGTTAAAAGTGCCCCGTGACAATTCCTGTACACTGTCAGCACAACCTTCCTGCTGATGGCGTAACCCTGAATTTTTTAACATGAGGCGAAGAAGTATGTTTCCATTGCATTGAAGCACGCTTTGATTCAAGATGGTAGTTATGTACCCATGATTTGTCCCCGGTAATAATCCTGTTTTGCATGTTTTCTCTTTCATTCTTATGAGTGTCCTTTGCAGGCAGCCCTTTTGTCTACCCCTCCCCTTCCATTCCCACCCAACACACAACAGCATGTTGTTCTTTGAGGGTACACTCCGTAAGTACAGTCACCGCTTTGTTTATGTGTTGCAAATGAGCATGCAACACCTAACGCCACCTAACAAATGGAGACAAAGTTCGATGTTGCTGTCACCTAATGATACTTTTAGAAACCACCAGTTATATTTCCCTGCCATCCCATAACCATTTGTGACTTACTTATTGACTTTCCCTTGTATAATCAACAACAACAACAACAAAAGCATTACTCCATCACTTTCTGTTACTTGATTAATTACTCCATATGAACACAATGTGGGCGAGGTAAAAACCACCAATGAATCCAAGGAAAAAAGATGTATATACAAACCGCTCAAGACGATCTCGGATGTGGCGAATTTATGTTGTGAATAACCATATGTTTATCCCGTCATTTTTGTCTTACTTGAATTCTTATATATATATATATATACTATATATATATATATATATATATATATATATATATATATATCTAATATATATATATATAATATATATATATATATATATATATATATATATATATATATATATATATATATATATATATATATAAGAGGAACTTTTTGATAAGAAGAACCGTTTCTTGGGTCCCCGTTGAGTACTCCTTATCAGGTCTGCACTGTATCGAGGATAGAATCTAGTCCAACACACAGGCCTCTCTCCCTCCCTCCCCCTCTCTATATGTTTCTTTCCCATTATATGTAAGACTAAATAAGTGCAACATGAATATGTAAAATGTGTATTCATATATAGTAAACATGGTCAAGGGTGCTTATAGCACTTTTGCTACGTGTCATTTAACGTTGACAAAAGTGTAATCACAGAACTGTTGTTTCGTGATGTTATTACGAGATGGCATTTGTAACACAATGTTGATCAAATAGGCACGGTGGTATTTCGTGCTGTTAAATGCAATCCAACTTTGGTCCAGTATGATTATATTAACATTTGGTTATGTGTAATCCAAGGTTGAGCAAGTATGATTACAGCCTTTATTGTTACGTGATGTTATGTATTATTCAGAGTAGGCCAAGTCTGGGATTGCAGTACTGTGTTGTTATGTGTATTGCCATGTTGAATAAGTGTGGTTAAAAGCCATATTTTATTATGTGTAATGCAGTGTTAAATAAGTGTGATTACATCTCTATTTTATTATGTGGAATCAATATTGAACAAGTGTAAAAGGTAAAAAGTAAAGTCGATAGATGTGAACCAGCGTCACTGCACACGGTTATAAACCATAAGCGCTCTGCCGCCAGTACGGACAGCCGATAAAAAAACTATCCGGCTGTCTCGTCGTCCGCACGAAAGTCCGTAGCTACAGCGACGTTCCTCCATTTACCCCAGAGTATTAACTCTAGCATCCATTTCCTAGAGGCTGAGTGAACCCCGGGATATAGCTATATTATATTAATTGTAATTCAATGTTGAACAAGCGTGATTGCATCCATATGATGTTGTGTGTAATCCAAAGTTGATCATGTGTGATTACAGCATTGCATTGTTAATAGAAATAAATGTTAGGTGTTTTTGCATCCCCAGACCTGCTTGTATGCACTTATATTTTAGACATCTCATCGGACTAATTGTTTTTCGTTAGCACAGTTTCAAGACTAACTGACGCAATTTTAAATGATTATTTTGTCAAGAATACACAATCTGGCAAACTGGCAAGGTACGATATGAATAATGACATTAAGACGAGGAAAGCAATTAAAATTAAAAGTAGGCAATTGCCCAACTTTCTTTCTGTTTCTCCCCCCAACCGTCGTGTCATTTCTTTGCATTGAGGTCATATTAGGGATTTTCCCAGACGCGTATTCACCTCTAGAATATGTACAATTCCCGTGAAAGAGCCTCACATTGTAGATTCTATAATGCCAGAAGCCAATCGTCTTTTCTTACACTGTTTACTGCTCCGTGCATTGCAAGACACCCCGCCGTGCTGTTCAACTCCCGAAGCCATGTGAGAAAATTGTCCTTAATTATCTACCAAATAGGATGGATGGTAAAATGGTTCGGTTTTGCTTGAACGAATACAGATGTTTTATCTGAACTTGTTTTATCTTGTGAAGGGTGGGTTGGAGTAAAATGATGGTGTATGCTGTCGTACGTATGGAATTACAGGTTTAACGTCCATGTCCTGTGTGGGGGAGACAAGAGACAACCACTGCATAATTTTTTTAAGAATCAGTGCATCATCACCATCACCATCATCATCATCTTCACCGTCAACTTCATCATCATCTTCACCATCATCATCACTTTCATCATCATTATCATCACAATCATCCTCATCATTATGATTATCATCATCACCATCATCGTCACCACCACCATCATTATCACCACCATCATCATCACCATCATCATCACCTTCATCATCACCCTCACCGCCACAACCACCGACACCCCCAAGTATAGTAAAACGTCAGGATACGAATTTAATCTGTCCCATAGCGGGTAACGCAGAGAGTTCTCGTTGTTTCCCCCCAGCTCGCGTCTTGAATTTAGAACTTTCGGTTTTTTTAACCAATATATCTAGCGGGGTGTATCTGTACTTACACGGAACAGTGGTCCGACATACTTCTTTTGATCTCAAGGAACAAAATTGAGTGCCTAGATACGCATCTCGAAGAGTATATGGTGAGAGTTCGAAAATAATGCGCAGTGTATGTTTTATTTTCATTACCAGACATAATTAATCTTCTTCTTCAGCATTCCGAGACCTTAGGGTTCATTGCTGCAGAGTTCACCCGCCTCCACCCATCGCTCTGGTTGGCTTTCTCCTTCCAGTTGGTGACACCAAGTGTTTGAAGGTCTGTCTAGACATTTCCAAAGATCAATTCTGAAAAAAGAAAAAATCACCTTGTTGTAAATTCAAACTAAAGACCTTCGGGTCAAGAGGATGCCCTTCGTATAATCGGGCGTTATTGCATGGGGCAGCAGAAACAAACTTATCAGGAAAGAAAAACATAAATTTTTAGACTCCGGACAGGACACTGTGGTCTTCGATCACACCTGCACATGATAGGCATGAGAGAATCTGCTGCCTGTGATTGTGGAGCAGAAAGTCAGACCCCTGAGCACATACTGCAGTATTGCCCTGATATCTCCCAGCAAAGATTGTGGATCTGGCCCAAGGAAGCTACATTGCAAGAGAAGCTTTGAGGGACAGATGGCGACCTTAAACGCACAATCCTATTTGTTACCCAGACGGGACTCAATGTTAAGCATGACTGATGTCAAACGTAAAAGAAGAATAAGAAGAATTGCGCGGAGCATCTGAATAATTTCACAGATTGAAATAAATAGCACCAAAATTGATTAACTGCTTGATCTCCCCCACGTCGACATAATTCACGAGCTGGCTATTCATAGCAAATTTCCGACTGGCGTGGGCGATGATGCCTTTCCACAATCTGCGATCTGCAGCTACGTTTATCAGATGTGTATTGACACCCCTCCATGTCATGACAAAAGGTTGTCAAGAAGCTTGTTATGTAATCTTACCTTGTCTCTCTTTCCACACGTATTGCCAGTGGTCACAACATGTTACAGTTTCCATTTGATCTTAACATGACCACTCTCTCCCCCCCCCCTCCCCCCCCCCCCCAATAAAAAAGATGACTGTCTCTTTCTGATTTTCAAAATAAGCTCTCTTCGAGCCTTTGCAATTTCAAAACATTTTTTTTTCCTGTCCATGGAATCTCAAGAATTCTTCTGTAGAACCACATATTCGAGGCCTCAAGAAATTGTTTGCTTTGTTTATTAATTGCCCAGGATTTACAGTCATATTTTAAAATTGGCATTATATAGCATGCGATGCGAAAACTACTACATGCTACTAAAATAACGACTGGACGATTTTCACCAACGCTGTATGAGACGCGATCTTGGTATGTCATGGTGAGACTTTGTCCCGAACGAATGTGTTCTCAGAAGAGCAGGAATGGCAACTACACACCTGAAGCAAAGACGTCTGCACTAGCTGGCACTTGTCTCCCGCACCGATTAAGGCCGTATTGCAAAGGATCTCCTGTATGGTAAACTGGAAACAGAGAGAAGGTCTATACGAAGGCCAAGGCTACGCTATAAGGACCCCATGAACACGAAACCTGAAAGATAGCAACAGTGATACAGACATAATGATGAAATTAACACCAGACTGACCGACTCCTATGGAGTCAGTCAACAAAAGATGGACAGTCGCACTTTGTAAGAGGCATGAGGCGGCAAGCTATAGAATGAACGTTTCTGAGAGAAAACCAGCCTGCGAATAATAGTATTAACATATTTTATGAAGTCTATGTGGAACAGACTGTTACTCCTGCATGAGATTGTACACTGTAATGACTGTACAATTAAAAACAGACATAGCAGATGCTGTTCCCAAAATCAGAGGCACAACTCAGTCACCCCTAGGGACTGACGGTTGCCTACTACAACCTAATGTTTTTATAATAGTTTATTTTTCACCTTTTTGCGCAGCTTATCCTGCAAACCTTTGATAAACAAACATATCTAATAAAATTCTCGAAGCAGGAGCGTGTGTCAGGAGACACGTCTGACATTGATCGCTATGATCCTATTCTCGTAGCTTTTCCCTGCTATGTAGAATACGTAAGTCAAAGCAATACAGGCAGCCGTACTGATACCCAACATGGAAGGCGTTTTACTGAAATGGACCAACTACTTTTCTGGTATGAAAGTTGCCGGTTTAATCTACTTTACTGCTTAATAACTTCCTGTGATATTTGAACCTTTATTAATATTATGATAATTTAATTGAGTACTTGTAAGCTTGTTATCACAGAATTTACAAGCTGCCGCATCGGCACATAGGGACAATGTGTGTCGTGGGTGTGGCAGGTCTTGGCAATGACTGCGTGACGTTGCATGTCATCATAACATCATTTATTTATTTAGATAACTCACTTGTAATTTCTTAATCCTCTATGTAAACTTTATTATTAGTCAGTGATACTGTGACCAGTCTTACAAACGAATCGAATAGAACGATTTGGAGGACTGTGCTGAAATAATTTTTTTTTTAAATTGACGCTGATGTCACTTTGTCAATTAATTTGATTGCTCTGACTTCTACGCTTATTTTCTTTTACATTAAAAAAATAAAAATTCGTTTACGTTTAATTATATATATATATATATAAACACACACACACAGTGTCGCTTCGATGTGGTGAATGGGCATCCGAACCTCAATGCGTCCTAATGGGTCTGCCACAGGGATCACCATTGTCGCCTGTGCTCTTCAATGTGTACACAGCAGGAGTCACGAGTGCACAAAGCATAGGCCTAGGCAGAACAATGCCGTATGCAGATGATATCCTTGTTTACCGTCGAGGTAAAAACAGGCAGGAAATTACAACCACACTACAACACGAACTAGACAGACTTAGTGAGTGGTGCCAGGAATCAAGAGCTCAGGTGAACCCGTCCAAAGCCTCCTTAACATGGTTCTCTCTGAATACCCACATCGTAAGTACACCAACACCAGTCTTAAGCATCTTTGGTGTGGACATCGAGAGAACGGACACCGTGAAATACCTGGGCATGACATTTGATAGATGCCTGTCATACAAATGCCACGTAGACAACGTCATACTTAGAGCCAGGAAAGGTTTGACAGCACTCAAGGTGCTAGCAGCAGCTAATATTGAACAACGCCTACTTTTCCTTCTCTATCAAGGGCTTGTGCTTAGTGCCATTGACTATTGTCTTGCCCTCCTCACTGTCAGCAAAACCCAGCTAGAAAGACTGGACTGAAAATGAGGCCATGAGACTCATACTCGGCTGCACAAAAGACACCTCCTGCAACGTCATGCATTATGTCCTGGGTTTGCAGATGATGACTAGCAGATACAAAGTGGCACAGGTCAAGGCTTACATGAGGGTATCGGCAGACGTTAACCACTCATTGCACAAAGCTATACACGACACAAAAGGAACGCGTCTCAAAAGAGACCGCTCTTGGATGGCAAAGGCTGAGGATTTAATCCAGCAGGTATGTGACCTAGACGTGATCAGTCACGGAAAAGAATGGACGAATACACCAGTAGACATGCATGGCATCTCTAAGGTTGTCATCACACTCGGAAGGTCCTGCAGGCATCAAATTCCTGCGGCCGTAGACACAGAAGTAAGGGAACTGATAGATCAGCATTCAGACCCAGAAGATATCATCATCTACACAGATAGATCCGTGAAGCGCGGATCAAGGTCAGCATGGGCATACACAGCGCAAAGAATGGGGAAAACAATACATGAGGACAGCGGCGCTTACAAGACAAAAACATCAAGCATGACAATGGAAATAGCCGCTGCTTCTAGAGCTTTAACGTGGGTATCCGAGCAAACCGCCACACAGGCAGTAATTGTCTCAGACTCAATGAATATGCTTCAGAAGATAGCAACAGGCAGTATGCGCTCTGAATGGATAGAAAGCATTCGGAAATCGTACTTAACCTCCGTAACCTGGATCTACACACCAGGTCATGCGGGCGTAAAGTGAAATGAGCGAGCAGACCAACTGGCAAGCACTGCACTAATGATTGCGGGAAAAAGTATGGACAGAGCAGATATCGTCAACGCTGTAAGAACTGGGCTAGTGGAGAATGAGGAATCCCTGACACTAACACAGTTGCGTGACATGGGAGTTAAGCATGGTGATGCACGTCTTTGCCGTCTTCGGGGCCGAGAAAGGAGACGATATAACCAGCTTCTCATGGGGACAATTAGTAGAAGTACTTTGGAGTGGCTGCTGCTTCGGAGAACTGATCACGCATGGGTATGCCCAATGTGGAGTGACATAAAGTTTGATAACAAAACATAAAATAACATCTTGTAGGGAATCGGCAGTCCGAAACCCAAGTTCAAGGTGTCTCCGTCGTGCCAAAGAACTGCATGGCTGTTGGGTGAACAGTCGTTAACAAAGGCAGGCAGGTCGTTGTAGGGGCGATGCCTGCTGGTGGGTGTAATGTCCTAAGTCCCTTCCCCAGCTAATGAGGGTACTGCTGGGGTGACCGTTTATTAACCCTCATATAATGCTTCCGGTCAAAATGGACGCTAGGCATGGCCACCTTTTTTTTCCCTGCCAGACGGTGGCCGTTGCATTTTTGCTCCATTTGTAGACTGGAAGGATATAGTTTCGTCGCCCAGCTTCTGAGTTGAGTGCATGGCGTGACACTGTGAGCTACGTGTGTTTTTCGTTGGCACAGGAGCGGAGCAACTATGGGGTGAGCCGTTTGCTATGAAGCTGAAACTAGGATTACCAGATTACCAGTAAATGTATATAAAATATAATAATCTGCACAAGATAAAAGTTGATAATAGTTGGTGATGTTTGCACAGGACAGGATGAAAGTTGATAACAGTCAGTATTATCTGCACACAATGAAAGTTGATTACAAATAATTTAAATGTAATAAGTGCACCAATTGCTGTCTTTGGGCATATTGTGTGACAAGACTCCAGTCTCTTCATATCATAACTCTTGTACCATTGTCTGATAGCAATGAAAACAGTGTTTAGAAATATTTTTGTAACTCTTTCAGTCCTAAAGGAACACATTATACGCTGCTAATTAGAAGCCCAGTGAACGCAGATGTGCTGTTTTTACGTGTCTTTTTACTACTCTGTGGTCCTCTGATACTAAACCCCCTGGGACTGAAAAAGTGATGTCATTCTCTGAGGAAATCCAACTGTGGTACTTCAGGGGGAAATGAAACATTGTGAAATGCATACACCAACATCAAGCCACCAGGATGAAAGTTATACTTACTTACTTTACTTAGTCGCTCCTCTTCTACCTTGGGGTGTAGAGGTTTGCCAGAGAGATCGCCAGACGTCTCTATCAGCAGTTTTCTTTCTGGCTTTGTTCCATTCCAGTCCTCTGTCAGTTAGGGACTGTCGGATGTTGTCTTCCCAGCGCACCCTGGGTCGTCCCGGAGGTCTGGTTCCCTGGTTCTTAGTCTCCCATGCTTGCCATGGTGGCCGATTTTCTCCCATTCTGCATACATGTCCAAACCATCGTAACTGTGACTGATCTACTCGGGTTAGTAAGGGCTGGGTATCAAGATCTTGACGTATTGTCTGATTGCGGACTTTGTCTCTTCTTGTCACTTGGACCACCTTTCTCAGGTATCTCATGTCCGAGGCCTGCAGCTGGCTTCTGTGAGCTGTTGTCATTGCCCATGACTCACACCCATAGATGAAAGTTATAACAGTTAGTAAACCATCACTGAAAGAGAGTTGAAAACAACTGTTATTTTTGGCTTAGCATGAAAGTTACCAACAAATGATCTTTGCTTTATTCGATAATTGCCAGGCAATAAATTATCGAATGTACTGTGTTCTTTTTTCTTAATATCTATGCCATGTGGCATTGGTGGTAGTCATGTCTCTCTACAACATTCTGTCTCGTATACTTTCAGTCGGCTATCCTCCGACTAACGGTTGGTAAAGATGGCGGCTGCAAAATATCCTTTTGAGCCACAGTCACATGACTTAATTTTGCGGTTCTCCGGCAGCTTTCCGGCGACTACCACCACCACCTCGTGTCCTCCACGTCCCTCACGCGGCGTGGAATGGGGCTAAACTAGATGGCTAGGACCCACAAGCAGCAGCGTGCACAAATAAGTCACGTGACTGTGGCTCGAAAGGATATTTTTCGGCCGCCTTCTTTACCACCTGTAGTCGGAGGATAGCCTTTCAGTCAACTCTGACACAGATGATCCTCCATGTTGTGATGTCAAACTGTCCAGCATCTTTTCTCTCAGTCTCCCTTTGCCTCTCCTTCCCTCCAACTTTGCTACTGTCAAGATGTACTTCACTTTTCTCCTTCTCATCACATGACCAAAGAATATAGATTGTCTCTTTTTGATGTGGGCAATCAGTTCTCTTCTTGAGTCAGTTTCTTTCAAGACATCTTACATTACTCTTTTTATCCGTCCAGAGTATTCTCATAATTCATCTATAAAACCACATTTCTGCAGCCTCCAAATAATTTTTCACGAATCTACCAACTGTCCATGATTTACTTCTGTGTGTCAGGATAGGGTTTGTATGTGTCCACATGATTTAAACAGTTAATATTATCTGCACAGGATGGCAGCCTCGGTGGTTCATTCTGGACAATGGAGTTTTGTCGTACTACAGATCGCAAGAAGATGTCAACAATGGCTGCAAGGGGTCCATCAAAATGGCCGTGTGCGACATAGCAGGTGATCAGATTATATATGTCAAAGATTATTCTGTAGGTTTGGCATTTAAAAGTCACAACACAAACCTTGAAACACCTCGCAATGTCCCACAAATTGAATATGGATGGCTAATCTGGAAAACCATTCCTGATGAAGTGGGATGTGTTTGCTGAAAGGCACAAATATACCAGTGATGCCATAAACAAGGGCAGTACAGTTACATCACTTGGACAGAAAGTGAAGAAGAAGAAATAATTTTCTAGCCAATTGAAAATTAAAAAGACAATGTTTTTGGAAACCTGTGTTTCAGTCTTTAGGTTCTTAGTTTAGGGGGAAAATTTTTGTGAAACAGTGAGGGGACCTGCAAAAAGGAACAGAAATCTCTAAAGCATTGCTATATTGACTTGTTTCACTGTGATTTCATTGGTAAGCACCATATTTTACATATCTTCTTCTTCCTCCTCCTCTGCATTCATCCTTAAAATGGAAGTTGCACGATTTGTGGTGGTTTACAGCTAGGCCGCAATATCTTGCACTTTTGGGCCCAACACATCTGATTTCAGCAATCTCCTAATTAGTTACCTTTGATGGCGTGCTTGTTAAGGATGCAGTGGGTTTTTCCACACCGCACCCCCCTCCCCCAACAGAACCTGAGGCCTCAGAACCTGTATGGGGAGTGTATTTTACATATTTAATGGAACAGTTCAAATCCCAGTAGAGACATGATTTGTATATTTTTGGTCCAGTACAAATCTGGGGTCAACCGTGCCTCATATGAAATGTGATTTAAAAAAAAAAAGTAAAGGACCTTTTTTCAAGCCAGTAATGCATCCTTCACTGCTCCCATAACAAGCATGTCATAAAAGTCGACTAATTTGGGGTATTTCCTTCAAAGTCGGGGTGCATTTGCCTGACAGGTGAGGAACCAACAGTTTGCCTGCGAAAAAAACATATGTAAAACAAGTGTGCGTGCAAAACTAAAGTTCTAGAACAAGGCCAAAGTCCAGAAATGAACAGACAACAAGAACTTTGTGTCGGAGTTTACCGCTGGTGAATGCTAAGAAGAAGAGGGAGAGAAAGACAGTCTGTATGTTTTAGACATGTTATGAGAAGAATAGTCTGTATGTTTTAGACAGGTTTGAGAAGAATAGAGTTGAAAAATTGTCACAGCTGGCAAGATTGAAGAAAAGAAAACAGAAAGACGACAAAGTGATAAATACCTAGATGGTTTGGCTGTAGGAATGCAGCGGGCTAAGAACACTGACCTTATCCATGATTCCGATGATTGTGTGGTGGGGCTAACCATGACCACTTAAGGTTAAGGTTATGGCATGGTACATGATGGTGATGAAAAAAATATGGCAGCTCACTCTTTAAATGTTAACTGTTTTTACATGAACATCTTCTAGTTCACCCAACTGACACGACTCGACTGGACCTGACAATACCTGGTGAGCAGTACTACTATGTCAAAGCAAGCACTCCTCAGGAGAGGCAGGCATGGCTGATAGCGCTGGGCAGCTCTAAGGCGGCTTTCCATGAAACCAGTTCTGCCAAACAAGGTGCAGGTACGCTACACAACTTATTATAATTTTGACCATTTGTTAACCCCTCACATAATGCTTCAAGTCACAGTGGACGCTAGGCACAGCCACTTTTTTTTTTTTTTATTTTTTTTTTTTTTTTTATATTTATTTATTTATTTTTTTTAATTTTTTTTTTAAGCCGTGGCAGTTCTGCCAGGCGGTGGCCGTTGCATTTTTGCTCCATTTGTAGACTGGAAGGATATAGTTTCGTCACCCAGCTTCTGAGTTGAGTGCATGGTGTGACACTGTGAGCTACGAGTGTTTTTCGTTGGCACAGGAGCGGAGCAACAATGGGGTGACCCGTTTGCTATGATGCTGAAACTAGGATTATCAGATTACCAGATTATTATAATTTTTCTTTTTTTCCCTCGCATTTACTGGCCTCTTATTTGCTTTTACACATTAATGATGGCTCAATCTCGGTTTAGATTTCCATGCTTTTTTTTTTTTAAATGTCAGTGAGTTATCAATGGAAGTAATTTGTTATATTCATTACTGGTATGCAGAAACAGTGTTATGACATTCTGGACAGGTTTATAGTGCTCTATCTCCCTCAACAAATATCAGAGTAAATGATGTTAACTCTATTTTTGCACTCAGCAGTTTGATACAAATCTCGCAAATTCAGACGATTACAAAAAGAAAACACTGGTTCCTCTTGTATTTTATATTCTGTAAACCTTAAAACTGTTAGCCTACATCAGAAAGAAACAATCTACATTTGTTATTCATGTGATGAGAAGGAGAAAACTGGAGTATATCGTGGTAGTAGAAAAGTTGGTGGGGGGGGGGGGGGAAGACACACTGAGACTATGAGAAAAGATGCTGGCCAGTTTGATATCATGGCATGGAGGATCATCTGTGTCAGAGTTGATTAAAAGTACACGAGATAGAAGGTTGTGGATAGACATGACTTCCAACGCCACATGGCATGTACTTTAAGATGAAGAAATCTTAAAATATTGTCTAGAAAGAACAGCCCTCGTCACTAGAAGGCAATCTACATTTCTTGTGCACATTCTGAAAGGAGGGAAAGCTGGCACACATTGTAACAGCGGGAAAGTTATAAGGGAATGGAGGCAGAAAAGGATCAGAGAGAAGATGTTGGACAGTTTGGTACCATCTCATAAAAGAACACATGTAACAGAAGTGATTGACAGAACACAAGACAAAAGACTTTGATCAGAAATGATTTCCAACACCATACGGTCTGGACTCTAAAAAGAAATCAAAGCCAAATAATCTTATTACACAGAAGATTTTCTCTGATCACTTGCACAATTACAAATTTGTTCTTTTAAAAATCACCCAGTAAAGATGCTCAAGAACAGTGGCTCTCAACCTTGCTAATGCCGTGACCCTTTAATAAAGTTCCCTCTTGTTGTGGCGACCCCCAGAGAGTTATTTTCCTTTATAACTTCAATGAAAATGTGTTTTTCTATGGTCTTAGGTGACCCCTGTTAAAGGGTTGTTCGACCCAAAAATGGGTCGTGACTGGCAGGTTGAGAAACGCTGCTCTAGAAGCTAACTAAACAAGAATACTGACCTAATCAGTGATTCTGATGATCATTTGGATGACAAAATCTGTCAGCCTATGCTTATCAACACAGCACATGATTATGATGATGATGAGAAGCTAATCAGTACTCCCTCTCACTAACTTTAGAGCTGAGGCAACTGCCCTCCTTTCTGCAGTCCAACATCTCATCACTCAAGAACACAGAGGGCACAAAATTGTTATACTTAGTGACTCATTGTCTGTTCTCCAAGCACTATCAAGCAAAAAAACAAGACAAACTAATTGCAGATCTAAGGACCAACATTGGCTTACTCTCCAAGGAAGCAGAACTGGTCTTGCAGTGGATACCAGCCCACTGTGGTATTCAAGGAAATGAGAAAGCAGAGGGAGCCACATTGCAAGAGAAGCTATGGGGGACCGGTGGCGACCTTAAACGTACAATCCTTTTTGTGACCCAGACGGGACTCAGTGTTTAGCACGACTGATGTCGAACGCAGAAGAAGAAGTACTCCCTCTCATTGCCATGATGAAGTTTTACAAAAAAATTTAAAAAAACAGGAAAGGACCCTCTTCCACGCCACGGAGGCATCAAGCATGTGGTGCTACTCACATAAACTGTAAACCACTCGGCATTTGATGGGGGCTATTTTCAACAGCATGATGACCACTGTTACTGCCCAGGACATTCCCTGAGGCCCATTTGAGGCTTGGTGATCCTGGAAGCCATGGTCATTTTGTAAACGTCAGTCTGCCCTGATGTCCCTTCAAACCCCTCCCTGTGTGGGTTCCAGGGCTCTCTTGTGGGGAAAACAAGAACAGACCCACTGCCTCCCTAATAAGCATATAATAAGAGTCGACTAGCTAGAGGCTTCCCTTCGAAGTCAGAGTGCATCAATCTGCCTACAAATAGGTCAGATCTGTGAAACAGTTGTGAACGCAACACTCAGGTTTCTGGAACCAGATTAAAGTCCCAAGGTGGATGAATAACCAGAACTTTCCGCTGGGGTTTACAGCTGGTGAAAGCGAAGAAGAAGAAGAAGAAACACCAAACCCAGCACTTTTAGGACAGCAGGCAAACTTCATTTTCATTGATACCACCACAACTGCTACAGTGGAAGACACATCTTCATGATTTCTCTTATTTCCTTTGGCACAGATGCCTTGCCAGACCTCCTCAGAAGCAAACAGTCGGAGCTGAGGCTCTACTGTGACCTACTGATGCAGCAGGTTCACTCTATCAAGCAGATGGCATCAAAGTCTGATGGAGCGTTGGATATCGAGGTGAGCTTTGTTGCGTCTGCTGATCTGGCAGATTTGACCTAATTATGTGGGTGCCAGGAGGTTGGTAAACTTGTTCTGTCTGACAGAGATATTACTTCAGCCTGTTCTACGTGAAGAATTTGTTACTTTGGCCTGTTCTGTCTGAAGAATTTGCTACTTTGGCCTGTTTCTGTCTGAAAAATGTGTAGCTTGTGCTGTCTGGAGAATGTTACTTTGGCCTGTGCTGTCTGAAGAATTTGTTACTTTGGCCTGTCCTCCCTGAAGAATTTGTTACTTTAGCCTGTGTTGTCTGAAGAAGTTGTTACCTTGGCCTGTGCTGTCCGAAGAATTTGTTACTTTGGCCTGTGCTCTCTGAAGAATTTGTTACTTCGGCCTGTGCAGTCTGAAGAATTTGTTACTTTGGCCTGTGCTCTCTGAAGAATTTGTTGCTTTGGCCTGTGCTCCCTGAAGAATTTGTTGCTTTGGTCTGTGCTCCCTGAAGAATTTGTTTCTTTGGCCTGTGCTCCCTGAAGAATTAGTTACTTTGGCCTGTGCTGTCTGAGAATTTGTTACTTTGGCCTGTGCTCTCTGAAGAATTTGTTACTTTGGCCTGTTCTGTCTGAAGAATTAGTTACTTTGGCCTGTGCTGTCTGAGAATTTGTTACTTTGGCCTGTGCTCTCTGAAGAATTTGTTACTTTGGCCTGTTCTGTCTGAAGAATTTGTTACTTTGGCCTGTGCTGTCTGAGAATTTGTTACTTTGGCCTGTACTCTCTGAAGAATTTGTTACTTTGGCCTGTGCTCTCTGAAGAATTTGTTACTTTGGCCTGTGCTCTCTGAAGAATTTGTTACTTTGGCCTGTGCTCTCTGAAGAATTTGTTACTTTGGCCTGTGCTCTCTGAAGAATTTGTTACTTTGGCCTGTTCTGTCTGAAGAATTTGTTACTTTGGCCTGTTCTGTCTGAAGAATTTGTTACTTTGGCCTGTGCTCTCTGAAGAATTTGTTACTTTGGCCTGTGCTCTCTGAAAGAATTGTTACTTTGGCCTGTGCTCTCTGAAGAATTTGTTACTTTGGCCTGTGCTCTCTGAAGAATTTGTTACTTTGGCCTGTTCTGTCTGAAGAATTTGTTACTTTGGCCTGTTCTGTCTGAAGAATTTGTTACTTTGGCCTGTTCTGTCTGAAGAATTTGTTACTTTGGCCTGTTCTGTCTGAAGAATTTGTTACTTTGGCCTGTTCTGTCTGAAGAATTTGTTACTTTGGCCTGTTCTGTCTGAAGAATTTGTTACTTTGGCCTGTGCTCTCTGAAGAATTTGTTACTTTGGCCTGTTCTGTCTGAAGAATTTGTTACTTTGGCCTGTTCTGTCTGAAGAATTTGTTACTTTGGCCTGTGCTCTCTGAAGAATTTGTTACTTTGGCCTGTGCTCTCTGAAGAATTTGTTACTTTGGCCTGTGCTCTCTGAAGAATTAATTACTTTGGCCTGTTCTGTCTGAAGAATTTGTTACTTTGGCCTGTTCTGTCTGAAGAATTTGTTACTTTGGCCTGTGCTCTCTGAAGAATTTGTTACTTTGGCCTGTGCTCTCTGAAGAATTTGTTACTTTGGCCTGTGCTCTCTGAAGAATTTGTTACTTTGGCCTGTGCTCTCTGAAGAATTTGTTACTTTGGCCTGTTCTGTCTGAAGAATTTGTTACTTTGGCCTGTTCTGTCTGAAGAATTTGTTACTTTGGCCTGTTCTGTCTGAAGAATTTTATATTTTAACCTGTTTTATCTGAAGATGTTATTGATCTAAATAGGGAAATGGGTTTTTTCCTACATAAAGGAGAGTAATTACTGAATACAAACAGCAAAGAATGAACTGATTTCCTTCCTTTCAAACATCTAAAAGTTATTTTTGTCACTTTTTCCAGTGAGAAATGAGTTATGAAATTTGATTGTGTCACAGCGATGTCACAATTTTTTTATCACCCCCAAATAATACCTTTAAAAAAAGTGGGGACGGGGGGAGAGGGGGGGGGGGGGGATAGAAACACTGAATATTAATCCCAACAGGACTTAGAATACCAAAACTATGATTGAAGCAGTTTTTCAAGGGAAAAGTGACTGGTTTTAACACTGAAGCAAGATTGTGTGTAACTGTTTATATCTCTTCTCGCATATTTGACAGAGAATGACAGAATCTTCCTCCCTGATTGCTGCGACCTGTGACACATTCATTGTGGCTTTGAATGAGTGTATGACCATAGTCTCAGAGTCACCAGTCTTTCAGCCCACTCAGCATCATGTGCATGACCTGACCTTACCAGGATCCTCATCTCTTGCAAGTATTCAGAGAATACCGGTAGGTTATCATAAGGATTCCTCATTGTCCTGTTATTTCGTATTGATTAATGCTTTCTCCCTGCATGAGTTCTAATAGGGCTCCATTGTGGGAAAAACAAGATAGACGACCATCTCCCTTCCCATTAAGTAAGTCTTAGAAGTCAACTAATTGAGGGCATCCTTCAAAGTCAGAGTATATCTGCCTGAGAGACAAGGAACCAACAGTCTGCATAAAAATAAGTCAGATCTGTAAAATTATTATGCACACAACACTCAGGTTCTGGAAAAAGACTAAAGTCCGGAGGTGGACAATCAGCCACAGAAATTTATGCCACAGTTTACAGCCAGTGAATATGAAGAAAGAGAAGTTTAAGGCTTTCTAGCTTCAGCTTTCGTTTTGTCATTCCTACTTTTCTTCTTCATTTTCTTCTCTCCAGCAGATGCACTCTTACTTCAAATAAAGCCCCTAATTAGTTGACTCTCACAACATGCCTGTTGTGGAGGCAGTAAATCTATTCTTGTTTTCCCCACAATGGGGCCCTCAAACCAACACAGGGATTTCATTTTTTTATTTTACTGGGAAACTGACTAGTACTGTTTCTTGTTTTGATTTGATTTTTGTTATTCATGATACAGTCACTAAATCAAGCAGTTATCTGAAACAAATCAAGTAATTACAGTTCCACCTTCATAGCAGCAAACGGGTCATCCCATTTCTGTTATTTCACCACATCACGCCGGCTACAAGATTTGGTAGGGAAATCCCCAGACCGTCTCACAATGGGGGGGGGGGGGTGTAAGGTTAGGATTGGGCTTAGTAGTAGTCGCTATTCATTTAACACTAACCCTAACCCCCCAATACTTTTGGACGGTTGGGGCATTTCCCTACCAAATCTCGAAGCCTGCATGCTGTGGTGAAATAACATGGAAAAAAACCAAACTTTGGGGGGGGGGGGGGGGGCTTCCACAAAATTGGGAGCCTGACCTAGTATCATGAACAAGTAATATCTAGGCACACTCGTATCCTGACCTGAAGTCCCAACCTACTTTGCTGACTGGCAGTGGTTAGTGGCTCTACAGCATTCACGGCTGACTAGGATTAGTTCTGTTTCATGTGCCAGTGAAAACCACACAGAATTTTTATCAAATTTTTTTACACAGACTGGAGTCTCAGCAAAGAAAATAGCATATACCCACATATTTGATGCATAAGGCAGCTATCAGAAGTGCCAACACAAACAGACTGGCACTTTAACTACATTTCATCACCAACATAATGGATGTGCAGGCAGATCTCAAGTTCTGGTACAAGATCAAAGTTCAGAAGTGGACTAACAGCCAGGACTTTCCACCAGTTTACAGCCAGTGAACATAAAGAAGAAGAAGTAGAAGAATCACTTTCAGAGATTCATAACAATGGTCCCACAGCCTACCAAAAAGCATTTCGTAAGAGTCCACTAATTGGGAGCTTCCTTCGAAGTCGGAGTGCATCTGCCTGAGAGGCAAGGAACCAACAGTCTGCACACAAATGAGTCAGATCTGTCAAATGAATGCACATGCAACACCCAGGTTCTGAAACAGGACTGCAGTCCAGAAGTGGACGAACAACAAGAACTTTCCGCCGGAGTGAACAGCCAGTGAACACAAAGAAGAAGAAGAAGATAATAACAGTGGTATCCTAAAACTTTCTATACTTCATTGTTTCAGAATGCAAGGACAGTAATTTCCAGACCAGTAGAAAGGTAACATGTCATATGTTTAGCAGATAGTGCTTTTTTTTTTTTTTTTTAATTATTTCTTTTCTAATCATTTTCTGCGCAGCATAACTGTACTGTGTAGATTTTTTTTTTATTTGGTTGGTTCTGCAAAATTCTCTGTGGCCTAATTTAGTGTTCTATTACATCATGTCATTAAAATTATGTCTGTTTGTTTTGGCATTTCTGACTGCTGCTTATGCACGCAATATGTTGCTGGATTTGCAGTCTGTATCCATTTGTTTTTCCCCACAAGGGACAGTGATGTGCATTCTGTGTGGTTTTTGTTGGTACAGGAATGGAGCAACTCTAGGGTGGGCCACTTGCTGTGAAGTTGCAACTGATTATCTGATTACCGGACTGGTTACTCAGTTACATCAGCCTTGGTTTGAGTTGGGAACTAGAGACCTCAGAGATGCAGTTTCTTTGTAAAAAGCCCAGAACCTCATTGATTGCTTAGACCAGTGTCCAAGTAATAATGTCAAATGCCTTTTTCATGCCATTGAATAATTTGGCATAAGAGGGCTAGATCCATAATTTATGTTGACCTCTTTTTATGGGCACTTGAGGCGGGGAATCTGGTAGATATCGAATCGACCAGCTTGACATCTTAGGACATATCGTGGCACCCATTTTATACTAGGTCTCACTGAAAACACACTTAGTTATTTTACAATAAGCCCTGATGTGATACATATTTTCCTCTAAATGTCTCGTCACTTAGTTACCACAGATCCCAGTATCAAAGGTAGCGTCATAATGACAAATTATTATCCAAATCAGGTGGAAATTTAAGGGTCTTGTTATGAAGGAAAAGGGTCTGGAGAAGGGGGAAAAAATCAGATGTGTGAACGGCAGGTTTACAGGGAGAAAAGGCTTGGTGGGTTGCACATTGACACAGACGTTGATTAACTGTTGAAAATATCAGGCACACGGGGAAGGGGGGGGGGGGGGGGTAGATGTTTACTTACTTACTTAGTCGCTCCTCTTCTACCTTGGGGTGTAGAGGTTTGCCAGAGAGATCGCCAGACGTCTCTATCCGCAGTTTTCTTTCTGGCTTTGTTCCATTCCAGTCCTCTGTCAGTTAGGGACTGTCGGATGTTGTCTTCCCAGTGCACCCTGGGTCGTCCCGGAGGTCTGGTTCCCTGGTTCTTAGCCTCCCATGCTTGCCATGGTGGCCGATTTTCTCCCATTCTGCATACATGTCCAAACCATCGTAACTGTGACTGATCTACTCGGGTTAGTAAAGGCTGGGTATCAAGATCTTGACGTATTGTCTGATTGCGGACTTTGTCCCTTCTTGTCACTTGGACCACCTTTCTCATGTATCTCATTTCCGAGGCCTGCAGCTGGCTTCTGTGAGCTGTTGTCATTGCCCATGACTCACACCCATAGGTCAGGACTGGGGTAGATGTTTATGGAGGAATATTGTTACCTGGATCACTTCATATGGCACAGGATGAGTCTAGTTCAGACGGACAAAATTTAGAAGAAAAAACTAGGAGTTAACTAGGTAAGTGAAGAATTGAATCCACACACACAGTAAATGAGCTAATATTTGCAATCTATCAGTGCCTATTCTACGATTAGGGTAGTAGACTGCAAGACAGTTTGAACAGGCTAAGTCCAACACACAGAGGATTTAACCTGGAAGTAAATACAAATAAAACTAAAACAATGCAAGTCAGTAGAATGGTATTTGTCTGAAGCAAATTTAAGAAGTTAAAAATCTAGGAAGTAAATTCTCAGAGATCAGGTAACAAAAAACAAGATGCCGGGCCAGTATACTTATATACCAACTGATACCATTATTAAGACATTCAAACATAAGTATGAACGCCAAGAAACAGATTATAAACAGCATATTAATACCAATACTATGCTATCAGTGCCAGACGTGGACATTACAAAGGTTAACCGACACAAAATTAGCACATGTGAAATGTGATGCTTGAGAAGAACTGCCAACTTAACCATCCAAGACAAAGTTACAAAGGGTATTATTAGACAGACTGTACGAACAACACATGCAGCAAATTCTTGAGAAACAGAAGATGAAATATTTTGGTCATCTAGTAAGAATGCAGCCAGAACAAATACCAGTGCATGTAAAAAGATCTGATGTGAAAGCAAGAGGTCGCCCTATGAAATTATAGACTGATAGCATTAAGGAGCCATCCACTACATGGACACTAAATGACAGTAGCTATTGCTGTCCATCAAGCACTGGATCGCAAACTGTTCCTCCCCACATCGCTTAATGGCAGAAATGGAAATTTGTGATGATGATGATGAACTAGTAAAGCTGGTAATATGAAATATGTGAATGGAAAAGATTAATTGTACCCAAAAAAAGACACACATACATTATCACAAATGACAGAAAGGGTACTGTGGACAAAGCCTTTATCAGCAGACTAAAACAAGTGGACACAAAAATCATCATAGATCAGAAATTAGCAGTGATGGCTCACCATCTCACATGATGACCATGGTCCCAAATCAGGTCAGTGTTCTTGTCTTCACTGTACTATATGGCCAGATCATCCAGATGTGTGTCTCTGTTTCTTCCCCTCCCCCCCCCCACCCCCCCCCCCCCAATCGCATTTGCCAGCTTCTATTCAAGTTGTTTTTAGTTTCTCTTCACAGTGTGTATAACGAATCTTGACCGTCTAATTTGTTTGGTTTTTTTAAAATTTAATTTATGGTTTTGATCTGTTTTTTGGAATGCCTCATTTAATTTTCTGCCTTTCCTAGGTATTTTTTGCATCCCCCCCCCCCCTCCCCCCAAAAAAACTTCACTGTTAACCATAATGCTGAAATATGGGTCATGGCCCCCTGAGAATTCTCATTAAAAAATCCTTTAAAAACCACAAGGTCATTAATAAATTGGTTCTAAATTTTATTTAAGTACATTTTTTGCCTCTCAAAATATTTTAGGATAAATAAAGGGCGCAATAAATAAACATGAACAGCGTAAAGCATCAAAGGGCATACATTCCCTGCAGCCTTAAAAAAATATATGTATTGGGTGACTTATGCCATGACCTCTAACACTAAGGCTTACAGGAAAATCTGATGTAAACTTGGCTTTGAAAAAAAAAACGTTTGGTTTGAAATAAAACCTCCAAATTTAGTTAACATATTCACATCCTGACCTGATAAATGTTTGCGCAGGCGTGAACACAGCCAATAGCACTAACTACATGTCTGATAAACTGGTCACTATATACAAGTAGGAAAAGTGACATTTGTGGGGAATTGGCACCAACCAGAAGTGTCAGTGTTGCAGCTTCTTGAGGTGACAGGATTAAATGTTTCTCAGCTTGCCTTTTGTTGTCCATGCTTCACACACATACAAAAGTACAGATTTACAAAGTGCTTAATACTATATATTTTTTTCTGACTACATTTGACAGCTTTTTATTGGTGAGTATGTTATAAATAAGAGAAGTGTCTGGGCGACCACTAGAATCAATAGTTGTAGGACAGAGAAGATGGCCCTATCTTGAAAACATTCTGAGAAGACAAACAAAGAATCACCACACAGGCCCTGAAATGGGAAATATATGGATTGAGGAAACAAGGATGTCCAAAAGAAACCCTTATGCAATATTGATGAGAGAGGCCAAAGATGCCGGACTGAATTCCATCTGTGATGTCAAGATGAATGCACAGGATGGGCCAAAGATGCTGGACTGAATTCCATCTGTGATGTCACAGATGTCATGTTGATTGCACAGGATGGGCCAAAGATGCTGGACTGGATTCCATCTGTAATGTCAGGCTGATTGCACAGGATGGGCCAAAGATGCTGGACTGGATTCCATCTGTAATGTCAGGCTGATTGCACAGGATGGGCCAAAGATGCTGGACTAAATTCCATCTATGTTGTCAAGTTGATTGCACAGGATGGGCCAAAGATGCTGGACTAAATTCCATCTATGATGTCAAGTTGATTGCACAGGATGGACCAAAGATGCTGGACTAAATTCCATCTATGATGTCAAGTTGATTGCACAAAATGGGCCAAAGATGCTGGACTGGATTCCATCTGTGATGTCATGTTGATTGCATAGGATAGAACAGAATGGAGAAATAGACTGTGAGCCCTATTTGATATGTAAAAACACAACAGGACAGTAAATGCATGTTTTTTGATCGTGCAAAAGGCTACTTTTGCCATAGTGGTTCTAGTGTAATCTCTCATGTCACATCTACAAGGAATTCTCCCTCAAAGGTTATGGTGTATCTAGTTCCAGTATAGGGGTATCTATCTATCTGTTTGACAATGTTTTTGCTTTGGTTGTTACACTATGGTATTTCTTTGCTCTTGGCGGTGACCTAATTTCTGTTTTCTTAGTCTAAAGCTGACTGTAGTTACTGTGTACAACTGCAGCATCCGCTGAACTTTGTGATTGACTGCAATTAGTATGTATCACCTGCCTGTCTTGTACTTAAATAATGATGTATCGCACAAATTATGCCTTGAAAATGGTGTAAATCTTCAGGTGCATGACTCCAAGTGCATTGTGTATTAATGTAAACTCTGTAGTAGTGCAGTTGATAAAGTAAAGGTTCCTTTTCCACGCCTTTAGACGTATAGGGCATATAGGGCTAGAGCTTTATTTTTATAGACCAATCGGCACAAGATGGGTGATGTGTTCAGCATCACGCCGGCCGCCTTTACTTCCCGGGACTGCACCCGGTACCCACTCAAGGCTGGGTCGACCTGGGAGTCAAGGTCATAGTTGAAGAAAGTCCGGCTCTGCCAGGTAGCGAAACCACGACCTTCCGATCTGCAAGCGAGCGTCTAGCCGCTACACCACGGCGACTCCCAGTGCAGCTGATAAAATGCAGCAAAATATACTGTACAGGGAAAACATTATTTTGGATATCTTATGTTATTGATATTTTGTCCCCTAGGGGTGTTTCCTTTCTCCAATTCCTCAGAATTATTCACTATATCAGGAAATAAAAGTGTGGACACATTACATGTCCCTGTCAAAACCTATATTGATTGGCTGATAATCAAGTATTTCATGAATGATGTCATAGACCACATGGAAATACACCATTCATGTGGCGTTCAGATACAGGTTTGAGTTATACTATGGATGAACTTTGGGACTTCCATATTTTAATATTCCCCCAAAACAACAGCGAATACATTGCAGCTTACCTTCACCTTCAAGATAGCATTTTTAAAAATAAAAAAAATAAAAAATCTAAAGATGCTTTAAGCAAGTCCAGATTTTTAAATGAAGTTGTTTGACTTCAGAATGTATGTTTGACAAATCCAATCTCATACAATTAACTTGAAAATAGCTTTACAGTGGCAATAAAGAAAGATGCATTTTTTAATTCAGAAACTACTAGACTGATAGTTATTTAGCAGTAGTACACTGTTCTGCCAATTAAGTTATGCTTTTGAGTCTATGTTGCTAAGATGTTACCACGTTTGAATCCTATCATAGGGCTTAGCAGTTTTACAAGTATATTTTTTTTTTACTATGTTCCTTTTTCCCATGTGGACTGTAAACACCAGCGGAAAGTTCAGGTTGTTTGTCCACTTCTGGACTTTTAGTCTTATTCCAGAACATGAGTTTATGTGTGCACATCCATTTTACAGATCTGGCTTATTTGAATGCAGAGGGTTGGTTCCTCACCTTTCAGGCAGATGCGCTCTGACTTCGAAGAGAACCCTTAATTAGTCAACTCTTATACAACATGCTAGTTACAGAGGCAGTGTGTGTGTTCTTGTTTTCCCCATAATGGACCCCAGAACCCACACAAGTAGTTAGGGGGACGGGGAATCTATTCTTTTTCCTGAACATGGAGCTCCCGAACCCATAAAGGAAGTGTACATTAATACGTCAGTCACATATAGTGCATTTTTTGCCTGAACTTTTCTTTAACTTGAAGAAGTATATGTTGCTGCTTATTGTTCAATTAATTCATTCAGATTGTTGTCATATTTCAGACCAGCACGACGCAGACCCCCATCTATTAGTTCCTTGGATAGCGTCAAAGTTCACACTTCATCCTCTCATCATTCACACACTGATGGTTCAAGTCCCAAATGGCCAGCATCGCCGGCTCTGCAGTCTCCCGTATTACCCCACTCCTCACTCCAGCCAGAATCTGTGCACCATTTCCCAGTGCCATCCGCCGATCCCAGACAGAGATCTGATACCTCGTCGTCTCAACTACCATCTTTGCCAGCAGCAGACGTGAACCTGACAGAGGTCTATGCTGATGGTGAACTGATACCCCGTTTACATGGCAACGGAAGTCTGCTCAAGAATGGGCCTGAATTGGTAATTCCAGCAGGACATAAATCGGCTGGTACAGAAGTAGATAATAGTAAAAACTCTGAGGATGCTGTTGATGAGAGTATTGCAACCTTTTTCTCAGCAATGCCCAAAAGGTTTGTGTGATGAATATCTTCTTCTTCTTCTTTTTTCTTCTTCTCTTCTTAGCGCTCACCGGCTGTAAACCGGCAGAAGGTTCTGGTTTTTGGTCCACTTCTGGACTTTATTACCTTGTTCCGAAATGTGTGTTTTGCATGCTTATGTTTTTTGCAAATCTGGCTTTTTGTGTGCAGACTGTTGGTTTTTCTCCTCTCAGGCAGATGCACTCTGACTTCGGAGAAAACACCCCTAATTAGTCAACTTTCAAGACATCAATGGGGGGGGGGGGGGGGGGGGGGCAGTGGGTCCATTTATTATCCCCCCCCCCCCTCCCCCCCCGAGAACCAACACAGGCAATGGCGATGAGCATAAAAACATAAAAATACAGATTTCTAGGGGTCCTCTTATCTAACTTAATATAGAAAGTAGTTGCTGTGCTTGCCAATTTGTTATTGTGGCCTTTAACAAAAGCTAAGAATAGTAATGTTTGTAATCTACTAAGTATGTCATAGAGGGTGATTAAGGAGGTTTGGCATGAGGCTACCAGCAAAAAAGCTGCTCAGTGTAACCAGCCAAAGCAAAACTGTCCCCATGTGAGATCTGGGGCCCCATTTTCTGGGGAAAATAAATAAGACATGTTGCTCCTTAACAATGCTCGCAGTAAAATGGCGACTAATTCAGGATATACTGAAATCAGATGGGTTCGTCCTAAAGACGTAGATATGACAGCTTAGCTGTCAACAACGGGCCAGCCGCCTTTTTAAGGGTCAACACCAGGAGGAGAAGAAGAATCAAGTCTAAAAAATGTGAGTTAATTGAGGCTGAAGCTCCAATGGGAAATAAGAGGTGGACGAAAAAGAAGAATTAATCTGCTAAATTGAATTATAACAGCAGTTGTTATCGCTGTTAATTTATGCCTTTCTTTCGGTTGCTCAGTATTTAGCAGCTTAATAGAGATGTAATAATGTGTTGACCTTTATTTTCTCCATGGGTAATGTGGTCGCCGGCTGCCTTTGCTTCTCAGGACATTACCTGGTACCCATTTGAGTCTGGATCAACCTGGGAGCCAAGGTCAATTTAGAAAAACATCTGACTTGTGTGGATTTGATCCAAGACCTTCAGGCTGATTGGCAGCCATCTTGCCACTACGCCACCACAGCTCCCATAATAATGTGTACAGTTATAGATTCTTGCATGTTTTTTTTTTTTCAAATAAATAACTACAGCTTTTATAAGCCTTCTTGCTCGGGTACCCAGGGTTCCATTTTGGGGGTAGGAGGCTGGAGAATAGACCCACTGCCTCCCTAACAACCATGATGCAAAGGGAGACTAATCTGTGGTGTTTTCTTTAAAGTCAGAGTGCATCTGCCTGAGAGGCAAGGAACCAACGGTCTCCATATAAACAAGCCAGATCCTCGGACAAACGGATATGCACACAAAACTCAGGCTCTGGAACAAGACAAAAGTCCAGAAGTGCATGAACACCTAGAACTTTCTGTTGAAGTCTGCAGCTGGTGAACACGAAGAAGAAAAATAGAAGATTAGACATTAGAGGAAAGTGAATTTCCCATTTATAATTGTCACTGAAAATTGTGGATAGAAATGTCTGTATGTATACTTTTAATAAAGTATAAATCATAATTGCTGGCAAATAGTTTGGCCATATTAAACATCACAGTGGTTTACAGAAACAGTGAAACTATGGGGGTGACTGCAGTCAAGCTAATAAATCCAAAAATGGTGAAACTATGGGGGTGACTGCAGTCAAGCTTAAATCCAAAAATGGTGAAACTATGGGGGTGACTGCAGTCACCCCCATATGTTTGAAAAAGGCTGCCCGGCCGAAACGTTACGTTGTGTTGTTTTGTGCACGTTTTCCTCCTTCCCATTTTGTTGAGCTTTTTAGTCAAATTTCTCTGGAATTTCTTTTCAGAAACAGTTATAGAGGGTATGGTTCCCTGTGGAGTTACTTACAAATTTGATATCCTTTAGATAAGAGCAAGATATTACGACGCAGCATGTTCAAAATGCAGAGTGAGGAAATATGATATCTGAGAAAGCTAAAATAAAGTATTTATGATAGTTTATGAGAATTAAACTGTCACTTTATGTCCACGGCCAGTGAATCTATCTATCTGTCTATCTTCTTTTACCCCACCAGGACATCACACAAACGATAAATACCCGATGACACAAAGTGCCACCATGTGGATGAGGATCACCCGTGGAGAGGTCCCAGAAACCGCGTTCAGCCATTAGACCATATTTATGGTCAGGCTATATTGCGGCCCCTGGCAAGAGCCAGAGTAGGGCTTCAAAGAACGAAAAAATGCATCCCATAAAGGGATGACAAGATAACACAGCCAGTGAAGCTCCTGTTATAGAGCTAGACAAAGACAAATGAGTCAAGAGTATGCCACACAAACTCAACACAGGTCTCAAGTGACGCATCTGGCTTAGGAAAATTAAAAATGTTGTACACAAGTGTTCAGAAAAAGAGATGAGCAGAATGATTTTATCATATGATTAAAAAAATAACACTTTGTAGAACATCATAAAAACTGGGAAGATCAGCATCATCTGAGGCCACCTGAGAGAGATGCTGAATGTGCCAAACTGGATTCCTGATTTCATTGGTTGAACCTCTATGTTTTCATGTGTGTCCTCTTACATGAGGTAATCATTTGTGGGCAGTCTCAAGTCTCCCTTGCTCAACCTCAATGTTCTTATGGAGGTGACATTTTGAATGTTGAATTAAGAATCAACCTTGTTGCACTCGGGACACCCCCATAAGCGCGCTGTTCCCATCTTCAGCAGCAAGCAAAGAGTTCCAATTTCAATGGCACTACTGGCTGTTTGTATATCCATCTCGCCTTTTCCTTAGTGTTAAGTGCCGGCCAGATCCCCTTGTAACTCCTTGCAGCGCCATTCTCCCCAGACGGTCTCTGTGCCTCTGCACTGTTCAGCCGCTCCCAAAAAGACTTCACAACATCCAGCTTGTCACACATCAAGTCACCACCAAGAGGTGCAGAACCGACCAGTCTGTCTGCCTGTTTATTTCCCAACACACCAGCATAACCTGGAGAAAATACCCAAAGAATGCTAACTACCTCCGGAGGTGACATGGAGACCAAGCAGTCAGCCCTTTTATTTCCATGCACACTGGCATAGCCTAGATACTAGAGTCACTTCAACACTGGATGAGACGGAGAAGCTTTCACTTGCCTGATACAGTTAAATTTGTTTCAAAATAAAGAGAGAAAATGATTTGAAATGTTTCTCTTTCAGCTTTGCTGATGTTGACACCAGAGATCAAGATTCAATCCTTGTTGTTCCATTCCTAGATGCCTGTAAACATTTGGTACCAATATTCGGTAAGATGTCATTAACTTGTTTATTCTACTTCTTCTTCGCTCTCACCGGCTTTAAACTCTGACGGGAAAGTCCTGGTTGTTCGGCCACTTCTGAACTTTGGTCTTGTTCCAGGTCTTGAACTTTGCATGCGCAGCTGTTTTACATATCTGTGTTTTTATGTGTGCAGACTGTTGGACCCCTGCCTCTCTGGTGTCATATAAAAATGTGAGTCTGGCGTCATAAAAATGTGAGTCTGGCGTCGTATAAAAATGTGAGTCTGGCGTCATATAAAAATGTGAGTCTGGCGTCGTATAAAATTGTGAGTCTGGCGTCGTATAAAAATGTGAGTCTGGCGTCATATAAAAATGTGAGTCTGGCGTCATCTAAAAATGTGAGTCTGGCGTCATCTTAAAATGTGAGTCTGGCGTCATCTAAAAATGTGAGTCTGGCGTCATCTAAAAATGTGAGTCTGGCATCATATAAAAATGTGTGTCTGGCGTCACATGCTCGAAAAGCTACTGGCTTGAAAAGGGTACTTTACTTACTTATCTTTTCAATATATTTTCAGATAAATTAAACACATCCGCTCTGATCCCAGTAAAAATGGATTTTTGTGGTAATATAAAGGTAGGTTTGGTTTTATCCGTTGTTTATTTTGTGTTTCAGTTATTCTTTTTTTATTTCTGTGGTAAATTTGTGAGTGGCTTCGTGTTAACTTTGATTTAACAATTTCGTCCAATGAAAATCTTTAAAAAATGGCTGGTTTCAAGATTTCGTTAAAAAGAAACATGCCATAGTAATTCTCCTAAACTCTACTCTAAGAAGCTAGAGCAGTGGTTCTCAGCCTGTGGGTTGCGACCCCTTTGAGGGTCGAAGGACCCTATCACAGTGGTCAGCTGAGATCATCAGAAAACACATATTCACTGAAGTTATGAAGTAGCAATGAAAATAATTTTATGTTGGGGGTCACCACAACATAAGGAACTGTGTTTCAGGGTCACAGCATTAGGAAGGTTGAGAACCGCTGAGTTAGAGAAAGAGACGAAGAGACAGAAGAAATTTGGAGTCTTGGTACATTTTTATAAAAATCCAAGGGGTTTAAACCTGTAGCCACCAAGCGGACAGGCAAGACTACTAATTATTGCATCATCCCGGCCTAAAAATCACAAAGACGATGAATTTGTTATATTTAGTCATTTTTTGCGCAACGTTTTTTAAAATATTTTTTAAAGAAGGAAGTAATTGCTACTATGTACAGACAGCAAAGACAAGAAAACAGGCGTTTTTTGGACATAGCCACAGAGAGCAAAGTGACATCATCATATGTTTATTATGACGACACAGTGACAGTAAAGTCAGTTTCACTCACCCCAAAAATATCTCACTGCCACACATTATCTACACACTATGCCATCACAACCAGCACAGAAGCTGTTACATGAGCATATTGGCCACTGTCCAGGTACATTATGTCATCAAAAACCTGTAAAAGAAAAACTGGCTTTCTCTGAGTAACAGGGTTAATAATGTCAGACTTGTTCAGTCCTTCTTTCTATGTTACATCAATGTCCTATTGTAACATTTTACAATTCCTTCGTTCTTAAGCTGTTACTCTTCTCTCGTTATGTTTATTATTTTTGTTGTAAGTGAACATGAGTCAGCTTTCTGCAATCTGAATAATATCAGTTACATCTTCTTTGCATTCACCGGCTGTAAACTCCAGTGAAAAGTTTTGGTTGTTCATCCACCACCAGTCTTTTGTCTTGTTCTAAAACGTGAGTGTTGCATACACATTAGTTTTACAAATCTAGCTGATTTGTGTGCAGACTGTTGGTTCATTGCCTGTCAGGCAGGTGCGCTCCGACTTCAAAGGATCCCCCCACTATTAGTTGACTACTGCGACATGCTTGTTGGGGAGGCAGTGGGTCTGTTCTTGTTTTCCCAACAATCCACACAGGGAATATCAGTTACTTTCTCTTTTCCTGGACAAAGAAGATGAGAAATATTGACATCTTAAAAGATCTGAACATCATGGAAGATTGGCTGATATAAACAGCATCCTTTCTCAAAAACTGAAATATTTTGGTCATATCAAGCGCCACGACGGATTGGAGAAAAGAAATGTAACAGAAGGCATGGTACCAGGAAGGAGAGGCAGGGGCCGACCGACACGAAGATGGGCACAGGATATAAGTGACTCCTTGAGTGTGAAAGTGCATGAGGCAGGAGAACTGGTGAGAGACCGAGTATCTTTCAGGCAGACTGTGATGAAAGCGACCTTCTGCAAAGGACCTGCAACATGATGATGATGATGATGATGATGATGTCTTTATATTATTTGTATGTGGTATCTGTACTATTTTTGTGTGTGTTTATTAACGTTTTTATAGTGACTTCTTGTGGGTGGCAGGTCTTAGTCAGATATGACTGAGCTGCTGTATAACAGTGATCAGTAATCCATGTTTTCTGTTAATGCCGAATGTTGAGCAGTGTATACCAAACCTGACATCCCACTGTGAGCCAATAGCTTCAGACGGAGGAGCTCATTGGGAAGGATGCTAGTCCTGTCATAGAAACAGGAAATGCAACTTGAAAATGTAATTTATGGCAGGGCAGGGCAGACCAGGCCCTTAGCTTTGGTTGGCAGCTGGTCTTGGAAGGAATCTCTGACAGGTGGACAGGCAAAGCACTGCTCTTCTGACCAGGCAGCTTCTGCAGCATGTTTTGTTCCAGAAATTTTGATGTTACCTTTCCTCTGGAGTAAACAAAGCAGGCAGTGAGAGGGATCATGCAGCAAAAGCAACACGTGCATCAGTGAGGTCTCTGTGGTGTTTTCCTTCTGTTTGCCTCACTGTCTATATAGGTTGGCCCCAGTTTATTAGGTTCAGATATGCAACTCTTTCTGACATGATACATTTTCTTTTCATGCAAACAGGCCTTCTGACATGTCCCTTATTTCTTAACTTCTTGTGCAAGGTTTTGTTATCCTTGTTCTTGCTGTTTTCACTTTCTTTGCATTGCTGAGTGAGCCTCTTCTCTTTAGCTTAATTACATTCCTTCTTGATTGCTCTATTTGGTTTAGGATATTATCTGGAAAATAGATATCGTAAACAATTTCTAAAGTTGCTCTGCCAGTAACATAAAGCAGACATTTCCACATCATGGTGTCTGGAAATTATATTACTAAATATCTCCTTATTAAGGTGTTCTGAAAGTTAAATAGTAAACATTCTCCATGAAGTTACCCTGAAGGTAATATATTAAATATTTTTTCAGTAAATTGTCCTGAAAGTAATATAGTGAACATTTAACCCGTAAGTTATCCTGAATGTAAAATGGTAAACAATTTCTATTAAGTCACTATGAAAGTAATATAATCCATTTTTCTCATGAAATTTTCATAGAACTGATGTTCCTGTTTATACTTAGTTTATCCTGAAAGGGATGCAGTTAACATTTGAGCATATCCTTTAAACTGGCAATACTTTTCAGCATTGTTAAAGCAGCTCTTATGACTACTTTTCCACAGAAAATTGAAAGCAAGTATGAAATTAACCCAGAACTGTTCCCAACTCTTCAGTCCATGGTATTACATGAACTGGAAAATAACCAGCATACTTACTCAAATTCTGCTACCTCCGCTCTGCTGTGGCTCAAACGGTAAGAGTTAACATTTTTTCAAAACACTGTTGAAATTAGAAAAATACAAGGTCTCCTTCGACTAACAGGTCGTTAAGGCAGACTGGTCTTAAGTTGAATTCATATCTTTCAACATTATTTTGTTTTCAAGATGGTTGTAAAAATTGTACAGAAAATACAAAACTTCAGCCGATGTGCTTATAATTATTGTACATAATGTGGAAATTGCATAATATTTACTCACTTCCAGGAACTTGTTTACCCTACAAATTGAGTTATTTGAGTTAATGGAGTTTTGCGTGTGTTTGGTCTTAAGCCACATGGGTGGTGAATGGAAAGGATGGTGTAAATGAAACTATAGTAACACCGGTGAGTTATGAGTTGTGTTATCTTCGCAGGTCATGTTATTGGAGCTCTGATTCCCCCTCCAACATATACATCATTGTCCCACAGTTAATAGTAAGACTTTATGTATGTCCCGGTGTGCCTCTCATGCCTGGCTGTGCTGATTCTTGCTCACAATTTCTGACTTTCTTAGCAGCAGTGGAGATGCGCTGCTCCCAGAATCCTCGGATCATCAAATCTCTCTAAGGAGATTAAAAGTGTTGGCACGATCCATAGGACAGACATCTGCAACTTAAGCCAGCTTATCTGTCTGCTCTTTAACAGCCAACAACACCTACATACCCTGGGAAAAAGATGAATAGAGACACCAGTGAATAGAGAATACTGTTGTTTGAATCTTATCATATGGAGTTTATAGGTCCCTGTTTGGGTTCTATGTCCCTAGAGAAGGGGGAAGGTGAATAAAAGACCTACTGCCACATAACAAGCATGTTGTAAGGATGATGAATTAAGGATTTGTTGAAATCAAATGTGCTATCGCAGCCTAGCTGTAAACCCAGCATAGTGTGCCAACTGTTCTTCTAGGGGCAAACACGGGAGAATGTCATCAAGTTTTCTTTGCAACCAGCATAAGACTGGCATTGTTGGCTGCTGAGCTCATGTAAATGTTTGTCAGGAGAGAGGGGGGGTGTCTGAACACTTAAAGTTTGGAGGGTCGTGAGGTTAACCCAACTTATAATTCAAGTGATAGACTTCCATTCAATAAGGCAGATAGGCAGGATTACTGTTTTTAACTGTGGCAAGTTTTTTTTCTTTTTCTGATAATAGTTAATCATTTCATTTTCTGCCATATGTACACTGAAAGGATATAGTTCCATCGCCCAGCTATTGACTTAAATGTATGGCACGATAATATGAGTTGTTGATTTCATTTGGAACCCCTATGCGTTCTAGGACCCCATTGGGGGAGGGGGGGGGGGGTAGACTCACTGTCGCCCTAACAGGCATGTCATAGGTGGCGACATATTTTGGATGTTTTCTTTGGAGTCGGAGTGAGTCTGCCTGAGAGGCAAGAAGTTAGATCTGTAAAATCAATGTACAAGCAAAACTTAGGTCCTGGAAAAAAGCCAAAGTCCAGAAATGGATGAACAGCCAGGTCTTTCTGTTGGGTGTGAGTTTTGTTGTGGACTGCAGATTCAGAATGTGGCAAGTAGCTTGTTGCCAGAGAACTAATGATTCCTTATGCAATTAATTGCGTGTAGTACTACTATAGGGGAAAGTGACAATTCGTGAATCAGAAACTGGGGAACTGTGTACAAGTAAGAAGTACTGCAGGGGGAAGCAATGTAAATCGAAACTGAGAAGTTTTTGTATTTCTATGTCCCCCACCCCCGCCCAACAAAGAAGCCACTGACAAGGAACATAGGAATAGAAAGGAAAAAAAACCAGCAGTTTCCATACTCCCGAACCGTCATGCAAGTAGCAGAATAAAAATAATCATGCAAATAAGCTGTGAGAGCATGAGAAAGAAGAGAATGGTTAAAACGTTTAGAGACCCTGCCACCCGATGAGGGCATGAATGGGAAGGGAAGTCACTCACTTTTTGTGGACTAAAACATTACCTGTACCGTGTGTGCAACAACTGATCGGTTGTAACCGCTGCATTCCTTCGACAATGAACTGCATTTCTAATGTCAGACTGTTTGTGCCGGCTTTATGCATTTAATGTGTATAGATACTATTGGCTTTGTTGAGACTATAGCCTGGGTCCGTTTTTTCACAAGGGTCACTGATGGACATTCTGCGTGGTAACAGAGCAACTATGGGGTGATAAATTTGCTATATAACATAAAGTTTACAAGTTTGTTAGCATCTACAACTTGAGATTTCAAGTGACAGGAAATTAACCAATGAAAATCTGATGTTTAGCATGCTTTAGAAAGAGTTAACGTTGTTTAGTTTATTTATTATTTCATGCATATTCTGCTTTGTGCTGTTAGATGTCACAGATCAACAGTTGACCATTATCCAAGCTAGGGCATACTCGGTTGCCCGGTATGCTGTGATATTGTGGGGTCTCAGGTTATCAGTGACACCTTCAGTCCATATTTTTCTTGGTGGTCCCCTGCCTCTTAGTGTTTCTACTTTCATACTGTACAGTCTTATTGCTGACATCATTAGATATATTCTTAATGAAATGGCCAGACCATTTCAGTTTTTTCAATTAATTAAATTGTAGGTGTTTCAGTAGTTCTAATTTCTTCATTTTTCACATTATCTCTTCTAGTTTTGTACACAACCTTTCTCAAATATCTTATTTTGCGGGTGGTCACTGTTTTTTTTATTTTTTTATTTTAGATTAACATTATTTGCTATATAGCAGTACAGATGTCTTCTTCTTCTGCACCTTCTCTTCTTTTTTATCATCTTGGGTATCGAGGGAGATAACTATTTTGTTTCTTGCTGTTCTGACTGTCATGACCTTAGACCTGTCATGACCATAGACATATTGTACGATTGTAGAGTTTCTCATATTGTATGTTATCTTTCCATCTTGTTCTGAGTCTCCCTTGATACAACAAATATACACTGATTAATCTTTCAGAGGCCTGGAGTTTATATCAGAGTTCCTGAAGGAGTGTTGCTCTGGATGCACTGACATGGGAGTTTGTGCTGGCAATGCTTATTCCCGAACTCTGAAGCTGTATCATGGATGGGTGGTCAGAGGAGTCTTTGCTGTAAGAATGATTCCTACTGTGTCTTGTATCAGAAAAAACCATGTTTGTCATACTATTACACTACTGGGCTGAAGAGATGAATGTGGTTACATCTTAGTCTGAAGATATATCAGTTGTTAAAGTCATACCGTAGTTTGACCTCTGATTCTAGTCTGAAGCCATAGTCTTTCCTGTGTGGGTTACAGGAGCCACCATGGTCTAGCGGTTAGATGCTCACCTGCTGAACCGAAGCTCATAAGTTCAGGCCCTGATGGAGCTGGACTTTTTTCACACATGACCTTGGCTATAGGTTGACCCAGCCTTACATGGGTGCCAGGTAAAGTCCTAGAAAGTAAAGGCGGCGAGTGTGATGTTGACCACATCATCCACCGAGTGCTGATTGGTCTATAAAATATATGTCTACCCCTATATGTCCAATACGCTTGAAGGCATGAAAAAGTTATTTTACTTTACTGTGTGGTTCAGGGAGCCCCATCCCTGCTGGCCCCCCAAAAATAGACTTGCTACACCCAACATTTCATGTTGTACAAGGCAGCTGATTAGGTGTGTTTCCCTCACAGTTGGAGTGTATCTGCCTGTGAGCTGAGAAACTAACAGTCTGCATAAGAAATAGGCCAGATCTGTAAAATGGATGTGTATGAAAAACTCAAGTTCTGGAACAAGACCAAAGTCCAGAAGTGGCCAAACAACTAGAATTTTCCTCCAGAGTTCACTGCCAGTGAAAGCTGACGACAGTGACGCCACCATCGATACATCAAGTGAACTTTTTGAACGAGTTCTGTTGTCTCACATCCAGACATTTCTGCTCCACTTGACCAGGGTACTGGACGCCATCAACAATTTCTACGCCAGACATTCCTTGGATTCGCCCGATACAGTATAAATTTAAATAGATAATGATTTTAAATACATCTATTTAAATGCATTTTGTAGAACTTGTAGCTTAGTGGTTGGTTAAGAAAAAGCAGGAATATAAAGGGACAAGTAGTAAGGAAAAGATCCTTAGCATAAACCACATTAGACTGCAGATTACTTCATAACCAATATAACTGTTCTAAATGCTTGAATAGGGTTTTTGGGGATTTGCACCTGTTGCATTCACATCTGGATAGTGGCTCTTTGAGTCACACAATCTTGTAATGCCTTATTTTGTGTGAAGGCTTGTCATTTCACACCCTTATGACAGTATCTGCCATATTTTACCATTTTGTATGTGTGGAGAGATTGTCAAGTTAGGGACTGGTATACACATTGATACTATAATAAAACATTGTTGATATTGTAATGGGTGGCTCAAGGTATATTGATATTGGGTTAGCTGCACGTTAATCTTCCCAAATAGAGTAGGTCACCTTTCATTCACAATTGTTGGGCTGGTCGACTTTCCTGAAGGTTACAGGTGTGTCCCGCCCTTTGTTAGCTCTCTGTGATGTCTTGAATTTATGTTGACATTCTGAGAAAGAGAATACCTGTGAAATAGGTTGCAGCACTCTCTAGCGGGGTTGTGTTAGGACCAGTTTCTCCATATTTTTAGAGTGTTAAAAGCGCTGGCATGCTGAAATATTCTACATGCGATGTCAACGGCATTACGGAACACCCCCGTAACCTTGTGCCAATGTGACAGGTTCAAGTACTACTATTCAGAAGTGAGCTAGTGTGTATATGGGCGGGGCGTGGGGAGATCAACTTTACTTTTACTTGAAATTGTAATAGGTTACTGAAGATACAATAAAAATTATATTTTTTATGGCCTTTACATCCCTCTGAATGGTTATTGCAATTGCTATCACACTTTTAAGGTTTTCATTTGAAGTTCCCCCCCCCCCTACCCCCCCCCCCCCCAAATATGTAAATGTCTAACATTTCACATCCAATGGGCAGTTATGAATATGAGGCAACCAAAGGTCCTTATGGACTGTGTGTGTGTGTGCGCGCGCGTGCGCATGTGCGTGCTTACGTGTGCGCGTGATTGTTGTTTTTTGTCATTGATGTAGAACTTTTATAGTCAAAACATCTGACATTTTTTCCCCCTAGTTGAGAATATTTTTTATTTGATGTTTTTTTTAAAGGACATTGTCAATTTAGCGATGTCCAAAAAACATATCAATTTGTGTGTGTGGTACAGAATGTAGTTTGTATTTCTTGTTTCTCTGCTGGATCTCTACCTATGTATCCCAGTTGTGACATTTTTATTTGCATATATTTTCTGTTTATTTTGCATTTTAAGCCAAAAAAAAAACTGTTATGTTTTAGGGGGAAAAAATTACATGCATCTAGTAAAAAGAATTATGTGATGTACACATTGTTTTCTTAATTATATTTAGACAAATTGTTTCATGCATAATTATACAATTAAACATTTGTTTGTTTTACAGTTGGTTGTTTGTATATTTATTTGTTGTAACTTCTCTTTGGTTGTTTGTATATATATTTATTGTAATGTCTCTTAGGTTGTTTGTTTGTTTATGGTAACTTCTCTTTCAGAGGTAATCTGCATTCTTTGGTCATGTCATGAGAGCGTAATCCAAAGTGCCGCGATCGAAACCCACCGCGGGCTGCATGGATTTTTATCGTGGTATGGGACGACGCAGGTCGACCCAGCCTAAAATGGGTACCAGGATGGGCTGTCCTGGGAAAGTAAAGACAGCCGGCGTAATGCTGACCACATTACCCACAGAGTGCTGATGGTCTGTAAAAATATGGCACGCTCTTAAAGCTGGAGTACATCGTGACAATGGGAAGATGGAGGGGAAAAAGCATGAACTGTGAAAGATTGTGTGAGAAACTGATTGAAGTAAAGATTGTAATTAAGTTAAAAGCAAAGGATTTTTGTTTCACATTAGTGTCATATTTGGCATATGGTGCTGAATCTATGCTTTAGTATGGATTTTTGTGCTCTTAGCAGGCAAACAACCATTTTATTGTAGGAAGACAAAATAATATGGGATATCCTTTCACCTTTAAACTTCCTTCATTGTCCCTTTAAAGCAGGGTTATTCAACTGGCGGCCCGCGGGTCAAATCTGGCCCACCAAAGCCTAGGAAGTGACACAAACATAGAAATCAAAGAGATGTTGTTGTAATGCTTTATGTATCATAAACAACTGCAATATGGTATAATCGTCATGGTTTGCAAGAATAATTCCTGGGTAAATATTCACTTGTAAATACTTCAGTACTGCCAGATATTTCAACCAGTCACTTTGCTGGAAGCTTTGAACAAGACCTATCATGATGTTTCCCAAAATTAACTTCACAAAATCTCTGAGATTTGTAAACTGCATAATCTTAAAAAGTATCATTGCTGAATGAAAAATATAATCTTAGAAACAGAACTAATTAGAACTACGACTTCTTTCTTCTTTGCCTTCACTGGCTGTAAACTTCAGCAGAAAGTTCTGGACTTTAGTCTTCTGTTCCAGAACCGGAGTGTTGCATGCAAATCTGTTTTACAGATCTGACATATTTCTATGCAGATTGTTGGTTCCTTGCCTCCCAGGCAGATGCAGTCCGACTTCAAAGGAAGCCCCAGTCATTCGAATCTGACGACATGCTAGCTGGGGAGGCAGTAGGTCTATTCTTGTTTTCACTACAATGGGACCCCGGAACCGACACAGGGAAATCAGAACTTGAAAAAAAAAAATTAAAATAAACACTAGAGGATGCAACACATCTTTCCCAAAAATTTAAAAAATAAACTAGGACCATTGTGTAAACTCAGTAATACAAGTTGTTTAATTGTGAACATGTTAACTTGATTAATAACATTACAATCATAACGAAGAAACTATTTAACACTCATGTGAACTAATATATTTTTTAACAGGTAAAGGTTTATATTTATGTACTGATTATTTCCTTTTTAAAATACATCATCACACAGCAAACCAAAATTTATGTGCTACACTTAATTAAACAACATATAAAATAAGAATTCTGTTACTGATGAGTTAAAACTTAATTTTCGTACATCACAAGCCAGTGATTTTTCCAACATTCTTAGTTACCAATATTATTTTACCATGAAAATTATTTCTTTGTGCTGATATGACGGTCAAGAGAGTATGGGCAAACTTTAATTTCAACAGGTTATGAATAGGACACAAAGGCATCTTTGTTCGGTCACACACACACACAAAAAGAACCGCTAGCATGTAAAAGCAAAAGTGGGATGTTTTTTACTTGTTTGCCATCTGATATATGGCTCTAGAGTTATTAGGAGCCAAACTAATGTTTGCGGGCACCCATACAGCCCCAGAAAAAAAATTCTTAGAGAAGACAGACAGAGCTTTCACAAGACAGACAAAGAAAGATAGACAGACAGACAGGCAAACAAATGTAACCAGGAAGGAAATATCAAGAGAGTCCAGAACACAGTCTCCCATGAAATGAAATTGGCTAAACTGCAATAAAGCTGGGGTGCTTTATTAATATCCTACCCCAAACATTGAAAATCAACAGGTCACAGGACAGTCTAATATTTCAGGTGGTAGATAGACTGCATGCAGTCTTGGGACCTAGGCTGCACTCTTTCGTTGTACATAGGTGGGTTGGGGTTAGGGCCAGTTCTAGATGTTTTGGGGTCGTTAAAAGCATCAGAAAGCCAGGAAATCCAGTCTTGCCATCTTCTAAAATTTTGGACTGTCCTGTGACGTCATCTGGTGTAGGATATTAATAAAGAACCGAAGCTGGTACTGGGTAGCTTTAAAAGATCGTAATAAGTTACAGAAAAAACGCTACAGCTAAAAAGTATTTATCTGCATAGAGAAAACAAATCTGAGGCACCTATCCTAGTAAAATTAATGGAAAATATCCTGCAGAAAATGGCAGAATTGGGGTGGCAAAGAAGGCATGTGGAGAACACACACACACACACACACACACACAAAAACATTCAAACTTTAAGAATAGAAAGCAAGGTTTTGTAACACTGGCCTGGGTATATGGTGCTGGACTTATTTCTGCAGAACATCTGGCATTTGATAGGTGATGTGGTCAACATTAAGCTGGCCACCTTTACTTCCAGGGACATTTTCTGGTAACCATTTTAGACTGGCTTGACATGGGAACCTCTAGGTCAATTCTAAAATCTGCCTCTAAGCAGATCTGAATTCAAGACATTAGGGCCAGCAGGCAGGTGCCCAGCCACTGCGCAATAGTAGCTCCATAAAGAATAACAACTAGATAAACTGAAAAGAATCATGTGTAGTAAATATTAGGAGGCTTTAAATGAAAACCATAGAAATGAGATATAAATTACAGTAATCATGACACCTGTCAATATTTTCACTCATCCAGTGATTAAAAAAATGGATAACAGAAGCCTACTCCTCTTTCATGCATGTCTCAAATGGGATAGCCATATTGCGACTGACAATATGATGTCATCGTATTTGTCTGCACTGTGATGTCATCTGCTTAACACTCTTGACATCCTTAACAACAATACTGACAGGTTACTACACGACAATGGCACATTTATTGTCATTTCTGTCAAGCTTTAAAGATTTTCGCTGTTAGCCCCCTTTTATTACATGATTCTAAAATCCAGACAATGAATAAACAGGATGATAACATATTGATTATTCAAGGTGCTGTATAAAAAAAAAAGTAAAGATCCCTTTTCACGCCTTTCGGGGCATATGGGCAGAGCGTCCCATATTTTTACAGACCATCAGCACTCTGTGGGGAATGTGGTCAGCATTACGCGGGCTATCTTTACTTTCCCAGGACAGCTCATCCTGGTACCCATTTTAGGCTGGGTCGACCTGCGACGTCCCATACCACGACAAGATGCTGTTTAAGCAATTTAAAATTAAAAAAGTGGACACAGAATCACAAAACCACCACTGAAATGGGAAACTAACTCTAATAAACCGTGAGG